ATTATTATTTACATATACACATATATATATATATATGTATGTATGTATGTATGTATGCATGTTTATATTTTTTATATACATATATATTTTTTTTTCATCATTAATTATTATTATCATCCTCATTTATAATTCATCGTTATCCTCGAGTTTTCAAATCACTGGCAAACACGTGTAAAGATACGCTGAACAGAGAAACGAATTTTACTCATTCGCGTGACATATTTCATTTCGCGTGCACTCGAATTAAATTACTGTTCGATGAAGAAATGCACAAATATATACTATATATACTATAATATACTAATTATTCCGACGCGTGTATAAGATATACATGTATATATATATATCTCTTTATCCTCCAGTGTTCGTGTGTATTTGTTGAATTTGTGCGGTCGTGTACCATTCATAATGCGCATGTGAACTCGTTTCGTGTACAATTCTCTTTCGTTTCTTTTTTTTTTTTTTCTTGTTATCAGCTTATTAAAGTCTCTCGTCTTCCTCTCCGTATCTCTCCTCCTCTCGCAAAAACTTCAGCCTTCTCCTTTACGCGTGTGTTTTTATTTGTAAATGCACGTTTTTTTTTGTTATATTTTTCCTTTTTTTTCGTTTTTTTTGTTATATAATTCTTTTTTTTTTTTTTTCCTCTTCAAATATATTCGTTATAGTTTTGCGCTTGTTTTGTGTGTTTCTTTACAATTCGGCACGATTATTTCGTTTTTGTTTCTCTTCTCGGCTAAATGCATAAGCTCGTGAGTTGCAATTGACGAGGTTCACTGTGTGCAATTTCCTTTTTTTTTTTATTTTTATTTATTTATTTATTTATTTTTTTTTTGAACTCCCCCGAATTGAATCCGTGTCAGGGCAAAATGAGGCTGCCTTCGGTGTTTCACACGCTATTACATGCTAATAGATAAATATATTATATATGTGTATATATATATATGTATGTATTAATCATAGCACTAGATAAAATGAGATAGGACGAAATCTCTCCGCTAAAATCTATGCACGTACGTTATTTTTAATCATACGAATTAAAAGGATCGCCCGAACACGAAGGCGTTTCCATTTTTCAATCTCATCGATGTGTGCAAGGTGTTTCTAGGAAACATACGTTACTATAATAGTTCTCAATTGATATCCCTAAAAGCTAATTGGAAAGGGTGGGAGGTCGGATCGGTAGAAATTCCAGTGACAATTCCGACATGACACCAGTCTCTCAGTTGAAGATCGATTTATTCAACCCTTAAGGCCTCAAGCTGGATAATTCGTGTAATCTCCAGAATATCTCCAAAATTTAAATTTTCTTTTTTTTTTTATATTGAAATTGATAAAAACAATTTATAAATATTTTCACTTATACTTAGGACGTTAAATTAATAATTTATTAAATAAACAAATTCTTGAAGAACATTAACGATTTTGTTTTGATTTTCTGTTCGTGGATCTCCGAACACTTGAAACCCTAAAAGGTATCTCTAAATCGGATTAAGCGAAACGAATATATAAGAATTATATTTCTCGAATATAGAAGACTAGGTAAAAAAAATGTCTGTAATTCACTGTCTTTCTCTATTTTCCCGTCCAGCTGCTCCCCCTCTCCGTCTCTTTAAGAGTAACCTATACATATATATATATTATAATAATAATAATAATATGGTAAACGATTAAAAAATAATTAAAATCTAAGAAACGATAAACGAACAATATTAATAATAGGGAATAAAATTCGATCGATATTTGGACTAATAATAATAATAATAATTATAATAATAATAATAATAATAATAATAATAATAATAATAATTTCTAAAAAAATTGACGATTAACGATAGAATATATTCGACTAAAGATGGA